CTCTCCTCTCCCCGTCTCTCCACCACCACCACTCTCCATCTCTCCCCTCCCGTCTCTCCACCACCACCACCACCCTCCCATCTCTCCTCTCCCCGTCTCTCCACCACCACTCTCCCATCTCTCCCCTCCCGTCTCTCCACCACCACCACCACCCTCCCATCTCTCCTCTCCCCGTCTCTCCACCACCACTCTCCCATCTCTCCCCTCCCCGTCTCTCCACCACCACCACCACCACCCTCCCATCTCTCCTCTCCCCGTCTCTCCACCACCACCACTCTCCCATCTCTCCTCTCCCCGTCTCTCCACCACCACCACCACTCTCCTCGTCTCTCCACCACCACCACCCTCCCATCTCTCCTCTCCCCGTCTCTCCACCACCACCACTCTCCCATCTCTCCACCACCACCACCACCACCCTCCCATCTCTCCTCTCCCCATCTCTCCACCACTACCACCACCCTGCCATCTCTCCACCACCACTCTCCCATCTCTCATCTCCCGTCTCTCCACCACCACCACCACCCTCCCATCTCTCCTCCCCCCGTCTCTCCACCACCACCACTCTCCCATCTCTCCTCTCCCCGTTTCTCCACCACCACCCTCCCATCTCTCCTCTCCCCATCTCTCCACCACCACCACTCTCCCATCTCTCCACCACCACCACCACCCTCCCATCTCTCCTCTCCCCGTCTCTCCACCACCACCACTCTCCCATCTCTCCACCACCACCACCACCCTCCCATCTCTCCTCTCCCCATCTCTCCACCACCACCACTCTCCCATCTCTCCTCTCCCCGTTTCTCCACCACCACCACCACCACTCTCCCATCTCTCCACCACCACCACCACCCTCCCATCTCTCCTCTCCCCGTCTCTCCACCACCACCACTCTCCCATCTCTCCACCACCACCACCACCCTCCCATCTCTCCTCTCCCCGTCTCTCCACCACCACCACCACTCTCCCATCTCTGCTCGCCTGCTCGATGGAGGTGAGGCTGACGACTCCGTTGTCCGTGAACTCCTCGCTGCTCAGCGCGATCCGTGGCGCCGTGGCGGCGCTCATCCTCTCTCCTACTCGCCCCGTCAATCACCGCCTCAAACCTCGTCCACCAAACCTCGTCCACCGAACCTCGTCCACCGAACCTCGTCCACTCAACCTCCTCCCCGCACGACGTCTCCCACACGGCTGCACGGCTCCAATAATCACAGGAACGCGCCCCGTGCAGTCGCAACGGCTGCGAGCTTTAACATCGCAGAATGCCCCCGGGGCCCCGAGTTGCACTGCGTGCGAGCAGCGCGCCGATTGGACGGGCGCCCTCGGGGCGTGTAGCGTTCGCAAATTGCGCAAGCGGTGAAGGAAACTCTTGTTTCGCGTGACGACTGATTCGTTCGTGGGGCGTGGGGGGGCGAAGCTTGCACGCCCCCCCCCGCGCCCCACAACCCCGACGCGTTTCGATGCGTGCTGATTCGCTCGGTGGCAGCTCTTCCGGGTGGGGGGGGGCCCGGGGTGAGGCCGGGGGTGGGCCGGGGGGGCCCGGTGGGGGGCGGGGCTTGGCCGATTGTGGGCGGGGCTTGGGCGGTTGTGGGCGGGGCGAGGGTGGGGCGGGGGGGGGCGGGGGTGGGGGCCTTTCCCCATTCCGTTTGTTCATTTGTCTCAGCTGTGGCCAACGGGGGTCGAGGGGGTTGGAGGCCGCTGGGCTGATTGTAAACTGGGATGGTAAAATATTCTTAGGTTTTTTCGGTAAAGTCACGTAGGTAAAAACATTTTTTAGTAAAATTAATAGAAATAAATTAAAATCACGACGTTTCGGAGGCAACACAAGCTTCCGTCTTCAAGTGGAACCGTCACAGCACGATAGATGTTACTTGATACACATGCAGACGGAAGCTTGTGTTGCCTCCGAAACGTCGTGATTTTTATTTTATTTTTATTTTACTTTTATTAATTTAAATTTTTTACCTACGTGACTTTACCGAAAAAAACCTAAGAATATGAATCATTGCAGTCACGAAAGCTTCAAATCTAGAAGGGATGGTAAAACCCTGGGAATTGAATGAGTAGAGATTTAATTTAAATAAAAGCGTGCTTCTGTATACGTATGAATAACAAAACACGCAACACATGTGTCGATAACGTTGTGAGTGTGTGTGGCCTTAATAGGGAACGCATGTAAACAGGCGACGTTTCGGGCAATGGTCCTTCTTTCAAAACACCTTGTGCTTTGGCACTTTTTCGGGCAATTGCCGAAGCTTTGTGTATTTTTTTCTTTTAAGGCAGTGATATTGACTATTGTTCTATTTGTGTTTGTGCATCACTGCCAATGCTAGGGTGGCAAGATGTTCACTACCTCGACTGGTATGGGTTCGGCCCCGATCCTAACGTTTATATGTTTGGAGTTTGCATGTTCTCCCAGTGGTCGCATGGGTTTTTCTCCAGGTCCTCAGGTTTTTGGCTGCTAAGCATTTCCACATAAGCCTCTTTCTTCACTCGGCTATCAATTGTGGCCAGGTCGCTTGTAAAAAAATACTCATATAGATCAGTGGGCTTTACCTGGCAAAAATAAAAACTTTTTTGTTTATCACCAATTCAGAAGGGACCCCTTCTGGCAGCTTTCGCTATGGGGCCGTCCATAAATGACGTCACGCACCTAGAGGGGGGGCGGGGTGAGACATTTGTGACGTCACATCAAAAAGCAACTTTAAACAAATATAGACAACATGTTCTACTTAATTAAATTGACTTTTTAATAAATGTCTTCTACAACATCAGAGTGCAGCGCCACATTAAATACGCATTACAATGACAATAGTTTAAAGCGATTTGAAGCATGTTTTATATTTTATTTGGGGGGGGGGGATGGCAGAGCTTTGTGACGTCATATTTGAGGGGGGGGTCTGACTTTTTGTGACGCCGTGTGACGAAGGGGGGGGGGGGTCAAATAACGTCCAAAATCGCGTGACGTCATTTATGGACGGCCCCTATGCGGCGCAAGCCACAGCAGCGTTGTTGCTGTGGCTTTCACGCGCGTTTGCCTCTGTTGAACAAACTAATCGATGGAACATTTTAAAAAGCGTTGTGTTACGATTTGTCTTATGAGATTCCTGCTGGATACTCAAACCACTGCACTTAGTGGAATTCCACGGAGATTGGCCACATTGATTGATGAACCAAAGCTCACCGATTCACTAGCTTATCAGGGGTCAGTCGCCTCATTGATTCTTAACATCGCTACTAACCTAGTTATTGTTGCCATTAATTTCACTCGTTGATTCTTCAATCCATGTCGAGGACTCGGTCTAAATTGGCTGGGTTTTTTTTCATCCAGTGGTCACAGCAAAACTCACCCACTCAGTGACTCACTCAGTCACTTACCCACTCAAGTCACTCACCCACTCAATAACTCTACCACTTAGTCACTCACCCACTTAATCACTCACCCACTCAATTATTCATCCACCCAGTCACTCACCCACTCAATCACTCAAGTCACCCACTCTCACCCACTCAAGTCACTCACCCATTCAATCACTCACTCACCCACTCAGTCACTCACCCACTCAATCATTCATCCACCCAGTCACTCACCCACTCAATCACTTAAGTCACCCACTGTCACTCACCCACTCAAGTCACTCACCTGTTCAATCACTCACTCACCCACTAAGTCACTCACTCACCCACTCAGTGACTCACCCAGTGACTCACTCACTCACCCACTAAGTCACTCACTCACCCACTTAGTCACTCACTCACTCACTCACCCACTAAGTCACTCACCCACTCAGTTACTCACCCACTAAGTCACTCACTCACTAAGTCACTCACCCACTCAGTCACTCACTCAAGTCACTGGCCCACTAAGCCCACTGCAGGTCACACAACACATCTCTTTCTGCTGACCCGCCCATGCTGCATTGTTGACCCCGCCATAGTGAACATGTGAAAGAGCTTCAGAGCTCATCGGATTCCTCCAGTCGCAATGATGATTCTGATTTATGCTTCTTCCCTTGCTCTGATCCGGTTAAGAATTCCCTCCCATCATCTCTTTTTTTCCCGAAGCTGTTATAATAACCTTGCGAAATTCAAGAAACGTGTAAACTTATATCTACGGTATTTAAACAGTTATTCGTACTGCATTTTGCTGGCCGCTTGGATATTTTTTAATCCTTTATATTAAGTTCACTTGCTTGCGCGCTTACGACCGTGCAAATCTTTCGGTCGTTTTTTAACCCACTTCCCGTGATCCAATTGAGCTAACATTTTGCACACAGACTCGTTGTGTGTGACAATTTATTTTCGTGAAAATTTTTTTGTTCCAAAATGTTACACTTTTTAGGAATTTTTTTTTTATATTTAATTACTAATTGCTTAATGGTGGCAGGCAATCATCTGACCCATAGGTGGCAGCCATCTCAAGCCAGAGGACGAGAGGACTCTAGCCGCCACGCATATAAAGGATTTATAGTGAAAAACTGTTTTTACGGGTTAATTTTTTAGCCCTTGAATCTGCATTCAACAACTGTGTAAAATTAAAGTACAATGCAGGCATTTTCGATGACACAATTCACTCGAATTTTCACTTTTGTACCGTGCCGTAATCAACGTTTCGCGCCGTGGCCCTTCTACGAATGTCAATGACGAACGGAATGGGAGTTTGCGTGTTTACGCGGGTCGATTTACCAAACGCGCACGTGACCGCGGGCCGTCCCTGCCACCCCCCCTCCACCACCCACCGCGCTTACCGTAGACCAGGTCCAGTATTGATACGGAATAGGAACGGTCACGTGACCAACGAGCCGCGTGCATTCGATTTAATTTCCTAGCGCGCATAGGAACCCGTCCCAACAACCTCCCTCCCCCCCATCTCGCGCTTATTCGCGCACGCGATTGGCCCACGCGCCCCCCCCACCAACCCCACCCCCCGGGGCCAATCGGCGCGCGCGCGCATCGCCAATGCGGGCTGCGATTTCCAAACGGCAGTGACGTCATCAGGGAAGAACGGCAAAGCTTGGGCGCGAAAGGGCCGGGGAGAGAGAGCGAGCGAGCGAGAGGGCATCGGATCGCGTCGTTCGTCGCTGTCTGACGCTTCATTAATCCCCTCCGCCTCCTCCTCCTCCCGCCGCCGCCGCTAATTAACCGCACGCCGATAGAAAGCCAGCGAGGTTAAACGGCAGCAGCAGCGACGACGGCGACGTCGACGAAAACAACGAACGGCGTAAAGATGGTGAAAAAGAGAAAAGGAAGGGTCGTGATCGACTCGGATAGCGACGACAGCCGCAGCGACGAGAGCATGGACGCGGTTAGTGATTGTTGGGCCCACCGCCGGCCGTCTTTGTCTCTCTACACCCCCCACTTCCCTACCCTCCGAGCGTAGTGTGTGTGTGTTCTAACGCAGCCTTACGTGGGTTGTTCGTGTCTCAAACGAGCGTTGAGGCAATGCTCGCCTCCTGTTGGCAAACCCACAGCCGGCGGTGGGATCCCACGTTCCTAAACCCATAACCCCTAACCCCATACCCCTAAACCCCAAAGTGGGGCTGTACCAAAACAACATTGACTACGGATGGATGATGATGATGATGATGGGCTGAGTTAACGCCGCAGGAGGAGCCCGGAGTTGAACTCGCGTCTCTCGCCATCGAGGCTTAAAGCCAAAACCCGGTCCAGCCTCTACGTGAACATGTGTTGGACATTGCATTACTGTGCCTGCAATTACACGCACGTCGTCTTGCCAACACCCCGCACAAGTTTGTATGACCTCGCACAATTCAATGAACTGCATTAAGGCTTGGCTAAACTGCGGTACAACTTTGATCGTGCTGTGTTTGGCCGTGATGAACATGTGCAGTGCGTTTTTATCCCGCGACAGCTTTCGGAAGCCATTCATCATCATCATTTAGCAGTGGTTTGACCATGGCTCATGCTAACCCCACGAGTATTAAACACGGCATATAAGATACCAGCGTGGCTCAAAGGGTCGCATATTAATCCTAAGTATAGATAGGTCCCGGGTCGGAACTAAAAGAAGGGGAGGAGTGATGCAGTACAGTAGTGTACTGTACAATGAAATGTGTGTGCACGCTGTCCTCCAGCGGAGTTGTGAATGTCTTCTTAGGGAGCATCTGAGAACCTCAAACAGAGAAACGCCACGTAAATAGTGCCCGATATCTTTACCCGCATTTCACAAGTGATAGCTTGGCCCCTGTAACTTCACGGCATATGTTTATGGCAGTCATTCGTTTGGCCTAGATGCACGTATTCATAACGTTTTTGGGTTTAGATCGCGTTGTTTATAAATGTGTCGTAACCCTCCACCACCCGACACGGCCAATCAGCAAAAAAGTGTCACGTTGACAAAAGACAAATAGTTCACTGCTTTAGCCCACCGGTGTGTTGTAAATGTTGTGGTTTCACGCTTCAACACACCGATGGGCTAAAGCAGTGAACTATTTGTCTTTTGTCAACGGGACACTTTTTTTGCTGATTGGCCGTGTCGGGTGGTGGAGGGTTACGACACATTTATAAATAACGCGATCTAAACCCAAAAACGTTGATTATGAATAATATTGATCGCGAAAGCCTGCCACGTGTTAAACTAGATGCACGTATGTTGAACTGTTTGCGCACCCTACGTAGTCAGCATTTTTAATTTTACAAAGAACACTGACTTGTTTTGGCATTTTGCGTCTCTTCAGCAGATGCTTTGTAAACAAACACTGCCCTAGCGACACTTAGACCAGTGAGCAAATGCTTTAAAACATACCAGACAGGAGGGAAACGCGTCCTAAAGGAGACAATCGCAGTGAAGATGGAGCCGTAAAAGCAGCTCCCTGTGCAGCAGCTGATCGGTGGGGCTTGCTGTGACTTGCAATGCAGGACCATGAGGGATTGTGGCAGGGTGGTGAGTCCTTCATCCAGCAGCAAATAGAGCATGGGGGATGATAATGATTACTCGGTATGTTGCCATATTCCGTGTTGTAGGTGGATTAAAGCAGTTGAATAATTTCAAAATAAACTTGCTTCATTTAAGTTTTGCTTTTTTCACGAATTAAATGCTTTTGGAATTACTGCAAATGCGTTCATATTCTTGGTTCTTTCGGTAAAGTCACGTAGAAGCGAAATAATAAAATAATATTAATATAAAACAATAAAAATTCTCACGACGTTTCGACTGCAACACAAGCAATCATCATCAGGTGTGATGAAGAACCAAGAATATGAATCCCTGCAGTCACGAAAGCTTTAAATCAAAATGTAAATGCATTGTAGAATACATGAAACTTTTTCTTTGAAAGTGAGACATTTTAACCTCTAGCCGGAGGATCGTAGTCATCATGAATCTCAAATGTGTTCACTCTTGTGATGTGCGCAAGCTAGGCCACGGTACCCATCACGCTGGATGGGTGTGGAATGGACAGCTCGTATTGTTTTGACAGTCGGTGGGAAAATGCACAATGTACAGATGCGTTGTGTTCCTCGGCCGTCGGATGTAGGGGGGGGGGGGGGTTGCAGCGGTGTTCGTGCTCGGATGTGCCCCGCTCGTGTTTTTGTTTTGTTATTTTTAGTTTGATATGCGCAATGTTAGTCGCCGCGTCCACCGCCTGCAGACGTCATATTCCTGAGTTTATTCCTTCCGTCTTCTTGTGCAAACTTTGGGGCCGAATTTAAATGTCTTTCTGTTTTTGTATTTAGAGTTGTAGACGATATATACGTTTGAATTGTTATTTTAGTTCGGAGCCTGCTAGTATTGAATGACAATCTACCTATGCAACCTGAAAGGTTATCTACGAGTAGAATTCTTCCTCAAGGTCGATCTCTTTAAGCCCCTACGTAATGTGTACATATAATCGTGGGCAATCGCCTAGTTATTCATGAGTGGATACACTGTTCAGTTTCAGAGTTTGGATGGAGAAAAGCAAACAGCAAAAACGACAACAGCTGAAATAGTTACATCCCAACAGTCCCTCACCTGGTGTTTTTTAGCTGTTTTCCCCCCCAATTCTGTTCTTGCCTATGGCAATATGTTCAGGAGATAATTGGCAATGTTGAGGGACTGCTTGGCACGAGAGGGCTTCAAGAGAGTTCTTGGTAGCTTTGCTATTTCTCCGTTGAAGGATCGCAGGCTACATTGGTTTACTCTAGTTTGTGTTTCATGGCCACAATAGCGCAGTCGCTTGTCTTCAATTTCCCATATATACACCTTATGAGCAATCGAAGTCATGGCATGAGACGAAAAAGCCCTTCCGAACTCTTGCAGAGCATCATCATTAGACCTCCTTTGCCAGTATCAAAATATAATAATAGGGTTTTTCCCCTTTTTTCTGGCAACAAAATTGAAACCTTTTTACGAGGATTCATGTCTGCATTAACCACAATACTTGCAGTCAAAATGCAAACAAAAAACTTGGTGTGGACCAATTAGTTTCAAGGACAATGCATATATTATCATAGTATGTTTTTTGTTTGCATGTTGACTGCAAGTATTGTGGTTAATGCAGACATAAATCCTTGTAAAAAGGTTTCAGTTTTATTGCCAGAAAAAAGGCGAAAACCCCTTTTAATTATATCTTGCAGAGCAGTACGATTCACTTGCGTTAGAGAACAGCCCTGTAGAAGCGATATCGTGTACTACGATCACAGAGCCACCTCTGATCCCTCTAAGTGACCTCTGATCCCTCTAAGTGACCTCTGATCCCTCTAAGTGATCTCTGATCCCTCTAAGTGACCTCTGATCCCTCTAAGTGATCTCTGATCCCTCTAAGTGACCTCTGATCCCTCTAAGTGACCTCTGATCCCTCTAAGTGATCTCTGATCCCTCTAAGTGATCTCTGATCCCTCTAAGTGATCTCTGATCCCTCTAAGTGATCTCTGATCCCTCTAAGTGACCTCTGATCCCTCTAAGTGATCTCTGATCCCTCTAAGTGATCTCTGATCCCTCTAAGTGACCTCTGATCCCTCTAAGTGATCTCTGATCCCTCTAAGTGACCTCTGATCCCTCTAAGTGATCTCTGATCCCTCTAAGTGACCTCTGATCCCTCTAAGTGACCTCTGATCCCTCTAAGTGATCTCTGATCCCTCTAAGTGACCTCTGATCCCTCTAAGTGATCTCTGATCCCTCTAAGTGATCTCTGATCCCTCTAAGTGATCTCTGATCCCTCTAAGTGATCTCTGATCCCTCTAAGTGACCTCTGATCCCTCTAAGTGACCTCTGATCCCTCTAAGTGATCTCTGATCCCTCTAAGTGACCTCTGATCCCTCTAAGTGATCTCTGATCCCTCTAAGTGATCTCTGATCCCTCTAAGTGACCTCTGATCCCTCTAAGTGATCTCTGATCCCTCTAAGTGACCTCTGATCCCTCTAAGTGACCTCTGATCCCTCTAAGTGATCTCTGATCCCTCTAAGTGACCTCTGATCCCTCTAAGTGACCTCTGATCCCTCTAAGTGATCTCTGATCCCTCTAAGTGATCTCTGATCCCTCTAAGTGATCTCTGATCCCTCTAAGTGATCTCTGATCCCTCTAAGTGACTCTCTGATCCCTCTAAGTGATCTCTGATCCCTCTAAGTGATCTCTGATCCCTCTAAGTGATCTCTGATCCCTCTAAGTGATCTCTGATCCCTCTAAGTGATCTCTGATCCCTCTAAGTGATCTCTGATCCCTCTAAGTGATCTCTGATCCCTCTAAGTGATCTCTGATCCCTCTAAGTGATCTCTGATCCCTCTAAGTGATCTCTGATCCCTCTAAGTGATCTCTGATCCCTCTAAGTGATCTCTGATCCCTCTAAGTGATCTCTGATCCCTCTAAGTGATCTCTGATCCCTCTAAGTGATCTCTGATCCCTCTAAGTGATCTCTGATCCCTCTAAGTGATCTCTGATCCCTCTAAGTGATCTCTGATCCCTCTAAGTGATCTCTGATCCCTCTAAGTGATCTCTGATCCCTCTAAGTGATCTCTGATCCCTCTAAGTGATCTCTGATCCCTCTAAGTGATCTCTGATCCCTCTAAGTGATCTCTGATCCCTCTAAGTGATCTCTGATCCCTCTAAGTGATCTCTGATCCCTCTAAGTGATCTCTGATCCCTCTAAGTGATCTCTGATCCCTCTAAGTGATCTCTGATCCCTCTAAGTGATCTCTGATCCCTCTAAGTGATCTCTGATCCCCTCTAAGTGATCTTGATCCCTCTAAGTGATCTCTGATCCCTCTAAGTGATCTCTGATCCCTCTAAGTGATCTCTGATCCCTCTAAGTGATCTCTGATCCCTCTAAGTGATCTCTGATCCCTCTAAGTGATCTCTGATCCCATCTA